TTTCAATAGCAACACATTTGGTATTTTTATTTTTTTATTTTTTATTCAATTTTTATTTTTATATAAATTTCAATTGTGATTTTTTCAAAAGGGGCATTCAAATATTAGTTAGTCACATTTTTATAGTTTTATTTATACCGACTTAAGATATTATATTTAATTTATTTACTGAGTACATAAATGATAATGTTAAAATTAATATATTAGAATCTAATCATGTATTTATGAACTATTTCATTTATGATCAAATATAAATATGCTAGTTTCATTTTATAAAATTAGCTATTACTTAAGGAAAAATTTGGCAATGTCTACAAAAATCACTATTTCATTTCTTTGATTGAATAATTTTTTATTTTTCAGACATTTAATAATATTTAACTTTTCATGTATGCACAAAGGAGAAGGGTCATTTAAAGATCTATAAGTTCTTGTTTTGTTTTTGTTTTGTTATTAATTTCCATATTACTATTGGAGTTTTATTGGTCTCTTTTAAATGTTTGGTTTCGATATTTAGTATTATTGAAGGAACTTTGGCGTTGGTTCCATCTTAATTTAAATTCATTCTTTGTACATCCTACATAGACTCTAACAATTTGAGGATTCTCAGTAGATGAGATATTGCATTGATAAACTACGGATTTTATACGACATTTATTATTCAGAGGAAAATTTTCAGGATTTCTACAGTTACATAATTTTTCATTATTTTCGTTTAAGATGAATGGAGGCATAACGTCGCCATCACTAATGATCACTCCAAAAATCTTTGTAATCACCATTAGACTCATCCAACTCTTTACGAATCCTTTGTATTGTCCTGAAATGTCCGTATTGGAGCTTCTGGCGCGAATGTATACAGCATGTCGTTTCCATATTTCCGGCGGAGGGAATTGCGTCATGGTAATTTTTTACTCGCTAACGGTGCCCAACTGACCCTACTATACTGTGCGGTCGACAAATTCAATAATCCTATATATATATATATATATATATATATATATAGAGAGAGAGAGAGAGAGAGAGAGAGAGAGAGAGAGATACATCATTCAATCAGCAATCGAATGTGGAAGAAATCATTTATTTTTCAATGCAACCAGCATTTTTAAATGCACTAAATTCACCAATGAATTTAATTTATATGAATTGAATTTTGTACACTGAGAATATCAGATGAAATTTCTATAAATAAATTCATATCACGCTACAGACTTATTGATCCACCTATCTATTAAAAAAAAACCCATTAAATTGCCTCGTCAGATGAAGACTTCCATGTCAAAGGTCTTATCAAGGAACATCTTTCTTCGAAGTTTGTGGACTGGTGGTAGAGAATCCCAAAGAAACAACTCTAACAAATAGCAAGAACCGCATCACTTGAGAACATTCAATAGCAGTAAGAATAAAAACTGATATCACATGTAACTGGAAGAGAAAGTAATGTCATCAAGATGCTGACGTTCCACACTACTTTAAACGAAAGGTTAAGAAGGCTCTTCCACCAATACTGGAAATCGCTACTAGACTTGAGAAACCTATTTTCCTGAAAATTTTTTTAAGTGTAAGATTTTATAAATTTCACAATTAGCACTGGCTATTCGGTCAATGAATTCTATCTCATAAGGGAACGGTTATTGTGTATTTAGGCAGTAATCCTTCATTTATATATGTTTCATTAAAACCGACAGATAAAGTACTGCGATTAAGCTTTTTATTTAATTTTTCTTGTGTTCGAACAAATGTTTTTTTTTTTCTGGACACTAAGTGTGTAGAAACTATTCAAATGTTCTGTAATTTCGAGCGCTTTCGGCTATTTGCCAAGGATGATTTTATTTTTGCTTTTTAATTGGGTGTATTGATTGTGTGCATCTTTCAAGATGTTTTATTTTCCGAATACAGTTAGCACATTGTGGCCGTGTTCGTAGTTAATATTATTGAGAGTTGGCTTTTTCTTTTTTATTATTAAAGCTTCCATTATTTCTAATCTTTTTTACATGTGGATGAGATTATTGTGTTTTGTATTTTCCATTAGTATGTTTCGGATGCAGTCTGGTAAGTTTATGCGTGTGTTTAAATAGGTTCTTATAAGCTCTGATCAGATAGGTGTAACGTAAGGCGTCTGGATAGGCATGTAGTAGTGTGATCGATGTAATTATTTATGAATTCGGTTCCAAAAGGGGCATTTGATCTCGTTAATAATGTTCGTCTGTTGTAATTTTGATTTTACTGATGTGTACTACAGGTACATTGAACTTCGGTAGTGCGATCGCATAATGGTGTGACCATACGTCAGACCTCGTTGCTCCCCGGCACTCGAATGAACGATAGAATATTGCGCACAGCTAACCACTCGCCATTTCATGCGCAAACATGGTGTCACGCGACAGCGTCTCCCTGTATTTTTACCACGTAATTTTAAAATAACATTTACTTTCTAAATTACCATCGTATATAAGTAATACAAATTTGATTCAGCTTGTAGTTCAACTTTTATCATTTAAGTATATAATTGTATGCTAAAATATTTGTATTTATAGTATACTTGCATATACATCCATTTATTTTTTTTTGCTTTTGTTTTTATGTTGTCGACAGTTTACTACAGTTGATAAGCATAAATTTATTTGCTGCGATTTGGTGTACGTGAAAATATAGAATTTTATTTGTTTATTAAATCTCTCTCTGTGTTATCGTTATGTGTGCGCGTGTGTATCGTTAAGCAAGTGAACGCGAAAGTAACTTGCTGACCCTCGTCTTTAAAAGTGATTTGCATATATACATACAATATTGCATTTTATAATGCACTCTCTGTCTTTCTCTCTCTTGGCCTATCTAATTATCTAACAGAGGAGATTATATGGAGCATAAATATTTATTGTCTAAATTAAATTATTATTTCATCAAATAGAAATACAAAAAAAAATTGTCGTTGAAAACACGCGAAAAACGGATGTCATTTTTTGTGAACAGGCTCCCCTACCTTACTTTAGCTTAACCTAATATTGTAACTAACTTATATTTAATACTTAAGTTGTCTAGGGAAATTAGAACCCAACCACTCCACATCAAAATGATTGAATTTTCCGTAACCTTAACAACTTAAAATATTAACATTGTGTGTGCTTATAAATTAAGTAAATTTCTTAATAGGTTAACCTATTAAGAAATTTACTTAATTTATAAAGAATAGAACGGAGCTATTGATTTTAAATTTAATTTTATAATTAAATTTAAAATTTTAGTTTCTGTTTTGAAACATGGTAATTCCTGTAGAGCGATGGAACCATATTTTTAAAATAGAAAATCATTATAATATTATGCTCTACTTTTTTGAATCGGGCACTGTGTTTTAAAAATAAAAATAATTACTAAGAACACCGGATTTACTGCTTTTCTTATTTTTTTTCTTATTTTGATATATATATATATATATATATATATATATATATATATATAAAAGAGAGAGAGAGAGAGAGAGAGAGAGATAGTTGCATTGATGTGGGTTTGTGACCCTGGGTTTCACGCGCTTTGCAATCTTCAGACGAACGCAAAAGACGTGAAACCCAGGATGACAAACAAACATCAACTCAACTAAATATGTTAGCTCTATCTCTGATATTGAGCTCTCTCCAATAAGTACCACGCATATATAATATATAAATAATATATATAAAATTGCACATATATATATATATATATATATATATATATATATATATATATATATATATATATATATATATATATATATATATATATATATAAACATTTGTGCGCTGTTTCTATGCCAAGAAATTATATATAGCAAAGAAAGAAATAGTGTCGATATTTTGTGCAAATTACTTCGTATATAAATTTGTGTCTTTGTGTGTTTTCATGACGAAGCAATATATGAAAATATGCAGATATTTATCAAATATATATTTACGAAATATGCCTATTTACATAGGTGAATATTTATATGCGCATCAAATCATATATTAATATATAGAGATATTCACGTACATTTATATACATATATGAATATTATCCGATATATATATGTGTGTGTGGGTATGTGTATACATACATATATATATATATATATATATATATATATATATATATATATATATATATATATATATATATATATATATATATATATATATATATATATATATATATATATATATATATATATATATATATATATATATATATATAAATAGATAAACCTATTAGAATGTATCAGAATAATGATGCCCTATGGCTTTTGATGTTCATTATTTCGTATCTTAATCATTATCGTTGGAATTTTTGAAACGTATTCAGCGTTATTATTGCAATCCTTGACTTGTTATATTGGCTTTCGCTATAAACGGCCTACACTGTTTCTTTTCTCCCACTTTGTCTCTGTGTCTGTTTGTCTAGTTTTCTGCAACCCCGTCCTCATCGCTCGTTCCTACAAGATAGCATATTTGATCGAATCATAAACATAGCCTTTGACTTGTCGTTCTGCATGAGAAACTCTGATTCAATCATTAAGAGAGTTGACTCTCTGGGCTGCGCACAAGTGTGGAAGATATTACGAAAGAGACGAGAGTAAAAGAAAGCCTTAAGCAAAAGCTAAGCCTAAAAGGAAGTAAAAGGAGTGAAATGAACAGAGAACCTAAAGCAAAAAAATTTTAAACCGTAAATGGCAAAGGCGAATAAACACTGGTTGAAGGCAAAGTTAGATGTCACAATAATTTGTTTCGAGACAGATTTAACATGCGCTATACACACGTATAAGAATATTAAGCGTACTCTCTTTCTATCTTTTAGTTCCCCTATTTGAATAAATGTTTATTGACCTAAACTAATTTTAGCAATGAGATAGATTCATGAATAAGCGAACCCACTAACATTTGCTTGCGAGACTTATGTTGCAGCAGGGACTCTCCTCTATCTATTTATCTACTTGATACGTAAAGTTCATGCACTAATATGTGCAATGTGGAACGTTTTGAAGATCAGCCTTACGACCATATCACATTGAAACGCCGTTTCTCGTACGAACGCTAAAGTTAAGCAACGACGAGGCTGTTCAGTACTTAAATAAGTGAACGCTTGTAAATACCAGATGCTGTAAGCTTGTATGTGTGGGTAGTGTAATTTATAATAATCCGAAATGAGAAATCGCATTGCTGAATTTCAATTCCAGTTGGCTTTGTTGTATTCACTTAAACTCTTGGGAAAGGCATGAATCCACATCTTCCCTACCTCACAACAACTACAGGTTAATTAGTAGGACTTGTATAAGTAAATCATTTTATCTCCCAAAAATTGTTGCAATGTAAAAATTTTTTTCTGGCTCTAAATGACCTGCAAAATGTTGATATGTCGTAGAAAAGAACAAATTACTCAGATTTTTCGGATATGAGAATACCTGCTTATATCCTCGATTATCAGGAGGTTATTATCGACTCACATTGATGCTAATCTAATATTGATATGAGGAAAACGTATAAATAATTTTGGTAGCATTTCTCAACTGTGATAAATATCTATACGCGCAGCCACTCAAAGATAACATCGCCTGAGTAGACCTTACGGTCGAAACCCGAGTTGCGAGATTAGTTGGTATTTCAGACTTTATATATATCTCTTTCCAGGGTACAATGGGTAAATGGTCGCTATTTTTTTTAATTTAGCGCATGCGCATTGGTTTCGATTTTGTCGACTGCACAGTATAGTAGGGTCATTTGGACGCCGGCTGTGAGAGAAAGAGTACCATGACGCATTTCACACCGCCAAAAATTTGGAAACGGCATGCAGTACTGCTTGGCATTCGCGCCGGAAGCTCTTATACGAACATTGCAGGGTGTTTCGGTGTCAATTTGAGGACAGTGTAGAGAATTCGGAAAGAGTTGGATGATATATCCAGTCAGCATCATAGTATTTGGAGTAATGGCGACGTTATGCCTCCATTCATCTTCCCAAAGGGCATCAGACTCAACACGGAGCCTACATCAAGTGCCTTGAGGAGGTAGTGCTACCCTGGTCAAGAGGATGGCTGCTGGAAGACCCTATGTCTGGCAACGTGACTCTGCACCATGCCTTACAAGCAGGAGAACCCAGACATGGCTGTCAGACAATTTCTGTGGCCACATGACCCCAGACTGCAACACCCTAGATTATTATATGTGGAAAGCAGATTTAAGAAACAATAAATATTTTTATATATAGTGCACAATATTAAAAAAAGGGCGTTAATAATATTATATTAAAAGATTACTTAATTTTTAAATATCGATTTTATCCCGACATCGATGCTTCTTGGTATAATTTCCAGTTTTAAACCGTTTAAATACTTTTTAAAACCACAACACCTGAAGACTGTAAATTTTACCAAGGAACATCGATGTCAGGATAAAATTTGTTTAAAAGTTAAGTAATCTTTTTTCATATAATATATATATATATATATATATATATATATATATATATATATAATTATTATTTAAAAAAATTATAACATTTATGTTATAATTTTTTATAAATAATAATTATATCTGCTCTACTTTTGTATTGAGCACTCTTTTAAGAATAGTAATTGTTGGTTATTGAATTCATTCCGTATATACCAATTATATATATTATATATATATATATATATATATATATATATATATATGATCACGTGATAAGACACCAAAGTGTTAAAACAAAATGGCTATTTTTGTAGTGATGTTATAACATATTTATGCTATAATTTATTTATATATATATATATATATATATATATATATATATATATATATATATATATATATATATATATATATAACGTCTATGAGTTTGTACATGTGATATTTGCCCTAATCAGTTTTCTGTTTGTACAGATGACATTCACTGCTGGGTTTAAGTATATCCCAGGATGCAAATGTATGGTAGATTTCATATGTCATACGTTTTCGTTCAATCACCAAGAATGTACACTAAATACGCGAGATATTGCATATCTTTCTTGAACCTCTCTCCAACCTTCTTTATCTGTTTATTAATTTACTTTGTTCGTTCGCTTTTTATTATTCCGTTCGGCCATTTTTCTCTCATTGGTTTTCTTTTTTTTTCTATCTCTGTTTCATACATTCTCGTTGTTTCATTCTTTTGCTTTCTGACATTGTTATTTCTCTTTTTATTCCTTTTATTTGTTCTTTCTTTTTCTTTCTGACTTTCTCATTTCTATCTTTCCTATTTCTATCGTTCTTTCTTATTTCTCTTCTTTTTTCTTTTATGTTTTCTTCCTCTTTTTGCATCACTTGCTCATTGCTCGCATTCTCTCTTTTGATTTATTCGCGTTTTTTTCTTTTTCCTCAGTTTTCTGCTCAAAAAGTAAAAAATGCAATTTTTAAAGAATTAATGGATTTCATTTTTTATTACTTCAAACGTCATTCTTAGTGGATCTCTGTATTTAAGTAGAAGCACTGATTGTTTTTTAAAATTTAAACAGTATACATTTCCTCTACCGGTCTGCACACTCGAGAAGACTTATTAAAGAAATCGCACCCGCCAGCAGGATTCGAACCTTCGAATCATTCACAGGAGATACCACCATCTGAACGCACACATAAACACAAATAAACGTAATAGTAACAACCAAAAATAAAATAATCAGCAATAAATGAATAAAATATTTAATCTGGATCCACAAATATTTTCAATAATTCGAAACATAAACAAAGTAATCGTTAGAACAATACAATAGACTACACACAATAACTCACTGGTCTGTATTTTGTAAATAGTCGATATTTGTCTATATTTGAAGACAATCAGAAAAAAAAAACCAGAAGCTGGCACGAATATCGAACCATCTAACATTCCTACACCGATAGAGAGGGTTACGACTCATTCAAGGAGAACCCATCTGGTCGCGCGCTTGTCCGAGAACGAATCAATTGCAACCGTTGGATAAAACAAAATAGCAATCTGATATCTCTCAGAGGCTCCGAGGCCTTCTTCAACAGAATTAGCGACGAAGAAGACCGAAAGAAGATCTATCATGACCTGGATAAATCACTCAGTATCACTGTATCATTCGATACAGTCAAGGCCTGTACAAAAATTAAACAGATTAAAAGATCAGAAGGTGATGCACAAGATCCATCACACCCACCTGCCTCCAATGAAGGCAGTAATCAACATCAGTCAATACGAGCTGAGTGCCCCTCAGGAGTCAGTACTAAACAAGGGTCTAAACTTGGCGGGTCAGGACGACCTTCAAAAGTGGTTCAACATTTCGCAGACACCTCTCCCGAGTAAGACACCCCCATAGAGGAGAAGAAGACTAAGTATGCCATCCTGTGTAGTTGTGGTACAAAATATAAAGGCGAAACAGGTCGCCCACCTAGGATAAGACTGCAAGAACATCGTAAAGCCGTAAAACAAGGGGAAATAGAAAAATCAAGCGTAGTTGATCACATATGGAAGGAAAAAGTAGATCACAGCCCCACTGTGGGATGAGGTTGAAATAATATACAGAGAACATCACTGGAAAATACGAAAACTTAAAGAATCAGCACATATGCTTAGCCACAGAAATCTCCTAAGCTGAGCAAACATAGAAATGAATACAATATGGGAAACAATAATACGGAGTGCTAGAGAAAAGCAATAATAACAGCAAAAATTGCAATATGAGCTCTGGTAAAAAAAAATTATAACTGAGACAGTAAGTTTATAAGTCCCAAAAATTCATACACTGATGTCCTCAAGGACACTTAACTAAGACACCCGGAGGAAGCATGGCACGTGGAACTAGAACAATCTACCCTGGTGGACAAAAGAAAAGGGTTAAGTTCGAAATTCCAATCACCTGAAGAAGGCCGGAGCGTAAAACAGCCGAAACGGCGTGAATATGGCAACAACAATTCGATCATTATAAATAGTGTAAATAAATCGTCGAGCATAAAACACAACGCATATGGCCGGAAGATTGCGTACAAGCATGAACAGACTGTTGCCGCTGGATGTTGACATCAATGTCCACTTTTATATTTACATTCGCTCTATCCCTGATATTGAACTTCAACCCATAAATATAGCATACCTTAAAACTATATTTTATCATTCAGATATATATATATATATATATATATATATATATATATATATATATATATATATATATAAATTTTTTAAATTATTGAGGAATGTACACATATATTTGTAGGTAGTTCTTATTTTCTTTCACCTAATGTACAATTAGGCGTATATGTGTGTTTGGAATTTTCGTTTTTTATTTATTAGATGGTGTTATTTTTATACGTATATATCTATTTTAATTTTCTTTCTTTACCTATTGTTTGTTTCTCTGTTCTATTAGACCATTTTTATCTTTGTATATTGGCCCGTATAAGTTATATTTTAATATGTGGTTAGAATTCGTTTAATAACATCTTCAATCTTGAATATATTGCATGTATAGTAAATTGCATGCACATTTCATTGTGTATGTGTGTAGTTTAATTTTTTATTTATTTATTTTTTTTGTGAAAGGTCGTGCAAATATTTCCTGTCTCGTCACTTTTTTGTGTGTGTATATATCTAAATATGTCTGCGTGCTTATGTATTATAATCTGGTTGTGTTTGTATTGTCTTTCGCAAGATGTCTTAATCCCATGTCTACACCTGTATCCATGTTGTCATTAAGTTAAGGGCAGTCGATCTTAACGTTTATTCCAACGTAATTTCAATAGAAACAAAATGAATACAATAACATATGTATTTTTTTTCTTTTTTCCTCAATAATTTTAAAAATTTTAAACTTGATATAGATTAAATTTACATTTTTGAAATGGGTAGTTTTTAATTTTAATTTCAAATTTTATCGTACAATTTAATACTTATTAGTTAGAATAAATTCTATTTTGATATAAAGCCAACTTTAACGCATTTAATAGTTATTAACCTTACTTCGTTGTCAAGTTTTTTGAATTCTCGTATACTTGTATTTTGATTGGTCATTTCAGCTCATGTGACAGCGTTTCCCCTTAAGAGGGTAGTTAATTAATTTGAACCTTTTAAAACCTTTATTCTACAATCTACATTCAACATCAACACTTGATAAAACACCACAGGTGTTGAA